GCGTCACAGCAACATGCAGCCAACACAGTATGACAAGCGACAGACGGGTGGTATGGTTCCCTGACCAGGAAATGAACCGGGGCCGCAGTGGTGAGAGCACAGTCTTAACCACTAGACCACCAGGGATGCCTAAAATATTTAGTGAGCACCTACTTCTTCCTTGGAATACAAGGAGGGATAAAACCTCGACCTCAAGAAAACTCCAAATTAGTTTGAGGGGGCAGGCCCCATGGCCGAGTGGTTAGGTTCGGGTGCTCCACTTCGGCAGCCCGGGGTTTCACCAGTTCGAATCCTGTGCACAGACATAGCACCTCTCATCAAGCCATGCTTGGGCGGCTACCCACATGTCACAACTGGAAGGACCCACAACTAAAAATACACAACTATGTACCGGGGCTCTTGGGGAGAAAAAGGAAAAATAAAATCTCAAAATAAATAAATAAATTAGTTTGAAATTCAGCATATAAATCCAGCAAGGTAACTAACAATATACGGTAACATTTACTAAACGTCAAGTGTAAACCATGTCAAAGGTACACAGTAAATTTACAGGAGTCCAACGTGCGCTGTGGCTTTCCCTTCTCTGTTCCAGCAGGCGCCATCTACAAACCTCTACAAGCGCCTACACAGGTCTGTGAGTGTATGGCCCTTCTATACTTACATGGATCTTTTGTCTCCTCTACTGGTCTATAAGCTCTTCCAGGATGGGGACCTTGATTTTTTTCATCCTTCTGTTTCTATCACCTGGCCAGGGAGCTGGCACTAACAGCATTAAATAAATATTTAATTGATTTAATAATCAATTGATTTAATAATACATAAGACTGTGGAATGTGAGCTGAGCTTTTAACAAAGGGCAAGACTCAGATAAGAAGAGAAATGAAGGTTGGCCTTTCCAAGAATAACCAAAGGAACCAACCAGACAACTGAAAGCTCCAGGCAGGTAAAGACACCTTGTGGTCAGAGGGCCCAGAGGAATAATCGAAACGCACTGCTGATACCACCATTAGTGGAGAGCATCAGGTCTTTAGAGCTGGTCTTCATTCATCTAGCCTTTTAAATTCTAACACAAGCTTATGTTAATAGTCCTAAATCTTTGCTGCTTTAATCTCAGAATCATTTCCTAGATTCTTTTTTTTTTTTTTGAGGAAGATTAGCCCTGAGCCAACATCTGCTGCCAATCCTCCTCTTTTTGCTGAGGAAGACTGGCCCTGAGCTAACATCCATGCCCATCTTCCTCTACTTTATACGTGGAACGCCTACCACAGCCTGGCTTGATAAGTGGTGCCATGTCTGCACCCAGGACCCGAACCCGCAAACCCCGGGGTGCCGAAGAAGCAGAATGTGCTCACTTACCCACTGTGGCACCGGGCCGGCCCCATTTCCTGGATTCTTAATTCCTGATCTATTTTTCCCTTGTCCCTTTTTTTGCTGATTAAATTAGAGGGGGAAAAAAGAAAGGAACCCAGACAAAGAATCGTAATTTAACACTGAGTTGATACTTTATGCAAACACACAAAAAATTTGGGGGTGGCAGTGGGTAAAAATAGCCTTGGTATTCAGAGTGCCCCACAACCAAACTGTAAATTCCTTAAAGTCAGAAAACAGTTTCTTTCTGAGCTTTCACAGCTCGTAGGACAGGACCGTGCACCACACAAATTAATAATGTCAACATAATTGCATCCATCCTGGTAGCTGAGTCAATCTTGCACACTTGGAAGGCTATGGTTAGTTTAAAGACAGATCCTGTCACACTCCACAACCAAAACAAAGTGGAGACAGCATGAGCAGGCGATTTAAACAAAAAATAAAACACTCAGCCTCCGTTCCTTGATTCCCCCTAAATGGGAAAGAAAAGTTCTTCCCTAACTTGTCCTGGGTAAGTGAAACTTTATTTCTGAATAATCCTAGTAACAGCCAGAGCTCCATATTTGCTAGACAGACAGGGACTCACTATTTTAGAAACACAACTCTCAACAAACTCATCTGTGAGACACTTGTGGAGGCCCCTAAGTCATCCTCCATTTCCTATATTCTGCATCTGAATTGCTGTGCTCTATTTGTTTCTAATTAAATTTTACATTGAACATCTTTAGGATGTCAGACTAGTAAAAGTCCCTGGAAACTCAAATAATAGACTTTTCCTCAGAATAGTCACAACTGCACCCAGGCTTCCCCCAGGAGTTGACAGAACAGATAAATGGAAGAATCAAATGAAAAATAATGAAAGAGTTCTCCACTCATGAAGTACAGTGCTCAAAGGATATTTCAGTTTTTTGCAAATAATAAACTTCTTGACATGGGGACGCCCAGGATCCAAAGTCATTCTCAGAAGTGCAGTCAATTCAGAAATTATGAATCTAAGTGTGAAATGTAAAATCAGTGGGAAAAAGATTCAGTGGCCTTAAGTAGCATATGAAGAACTATTTGGGTAACCTGAAGTACATGTTTTATAATTTTTAGCATAACGCAGGCCAATAAAAAGTCACTTTTCAATGGGACAGGAGCAAGCATTCATCAAGGACTCTGCTCTTATCCTTGGATTGTCCTCTAGGTCTGGCTCTACCTTTCTCTTCCATGGCCTGTGCCCCGGGAGGAGGCCCCGCAGACCGCATCACCTAGGCACCCCAAGCCAGCGAGCCTTGGGTGGGGTCTGACCACTGGGGGGCAGTGGCAAGAGATGGAGGGCTGTGGGGTAAGGAGAAGGGTTGAGGTGGCAGGAGGTGGGGGCAGGTCTCAGTGGACAATGGCAACAAGACTTCCTCCTCTTTCCCCTTCAGCACCCAGATCTTGGTACCTGAACATCTTTGCCAGTGTCCACCTTAATGCTGCACACATACCTCAAAGTAGTTCTTTCAAGTTTCCTCATTGTAACCCAATGAGCCAATGAGTTAAATTCTGTTTCCTGACAGGACTCTGTCTGATAGATGGACCTTCCTGATGTAGGGCATCTGAGATCTATACACATTTCTCAACTCCAATGTGCAGTTCTTATTGCTATCTCCCTTTTTACACATGAGGACGTGAGGCCCAGAGAGGGTAGAGTGCCAGCCAGCGGTCACAGAAGTGGTCACAAAGGAAGTTTGCTGGTAGAGCAGGAATGACACCCAAGTCAGCCTGACATCTAAGACCTTAAAAAGCCCTTGAAAGTGTGAAGGAGAAAAACACATCAAGCTTCCAAACTCTCAAGCCACAATTTAGCCTCAAACCACATTATTTATGGTTTGGGACTTTTCCCTGGGCCTAAAATAAGCTGGCTGGGGCATTGCCCTACAAGTGCTTCTTCCACCAAGAGTCACTCAGATTTGACCCTGCTGGAGAGCAAGAGCGGTGGAGCTGTCCTAAGACCTAAGAGATCACAGGTCTCCTTCCTTGCCCATCGCCCACATTTTTCCTTCAGTTCATCCCAGAAATCACTCCCACCCAGCCTTAAACATCCCTAAGCCTCTTTGCTCTTTTTTGTAAGTTAAAGACAGAGCTCCTTTGACAGAAATCCAGGAGATTGGGGATGGGGTGGGTGCAGTCAAAAAGCGCCTAATAACATGAGGCTAGCACCATAACTCACCAGGGTCCCTTAACTATCTACCTCTTTCCATACAAAAAAACCTCCCTGGATTCCTCTCTCTAGCTGTGCAGAATAGCTTAAAACAGAAAAAGCAATTAAAATAAATTCTGAAGGGGGCGGAGGGGTAAGTACAAAACAAACTCCCCTAAGGAAATTCAGCTATGAGTTAGTTTCAGGGCTAAAGAATTTGCTAATATTTCTGCCTTTGCCTAGGTCCTGGGGTCTCTCCCATCCTCACTGCAAACTGAAGAGTAATTTACAAAAGCACGAGTTAGCATCTGATTCCTCTCCCAATTACCTGACTTTCTGGATTTTGCAACTGATGAGAAGGCAATGGTCAGATTAGGTGGAATTACAAATGATATCCTCAGAGGGTGCCAGGTAGAAGGGTGGCTCAGTAAACAGTATGTGAGTAAGGCAGACGTCCAGGTCTCACTTCCTCATTGCTGAAGGAATGTGAGTGGAAAGGGCAGCAGGTATGCTCTTGTTTGAAGAAAAGAAGCATTTAAAGAAAGATCACTTAGTGAGAGGCAGGGGAAGAAAACTGGGCAAAAACTCAGCATGAAACCATCAGGCCCTCCTCCAGCATGCTCTACCCAGTTCCATTTAAATCAACACGTGTTTATTGACTCACTAAGAAATACATGGCAGATCGAGCCTGCAGCATGCAATGAGACAAGAAAATGAGTGAAGACAGCCTCAACCCTCAGGACAATTTCTCACCTGGCCTTACTGTTGTCGCCATTTTCCATGTTAATGGTAGCAGACAACTCCTAGACAGAACTCCTCTTCTCCCATTAACCTGTCCTATTCAGAAGCCTGGACCCTCAAGGATAAACTGACTGAATAAACTAAGGCCCTCGGAAAACCATAGTGTCCCGTGTCCCTCCGCCCTTTCAAATGGACATCACACATGGTATAAAATAACCGTCACCGTGATTTGACAAGTCTCAGTGCTGGAATCTAAAATCCACGTCTCTCATTCAAAAGCTATAGCCTACAGATTAATCAGGCTTATTTTTTAAGTAGGGTCATCTAAACTGAAAATAACAAAGACTTCACTACACTGATGGAAGAGACAGTTGATTCATTTATCAGAATTCTTTAGAACTTGGTTACAGAAAACAAGGTAACCCAAAACTTTAAATAAAAAAAGAAGAAGAAGAAGAAAAGAAAAAGAAAGAAAGAAAAAAAAGTTCATTCGAACCTGCCATGCAGGGTACACCAATTTTTTTCAGTTACAGGAGAAAAACATCAACTCAAAAAAAAAAAAAAAGTTCCACCTTTTACTCTAGTTTGTAGCAGTAAAATAGGCTACAGGGGTGGAGGACGGAGGTAGATAACATTTCCCCCCAGGCTTTCCGCCCGCATCGCCTGGGGAGGGGGGTTCCAGCGCTCACGCCCGGCCGCGGCCAGGCCGCCAGCAGTTCCCTACCTGGTCCAGCGGGATGCCCAGGAGCTCGCTGAGCGGGTGCAGACAGGTGGAGCCCGTGGTGCGGTAGGAGAGGCTGGACGGCGGCGCTGCTGCCATCCTGCATCTTCGGGAGGCGGCCGCCCCGGCTCCAGCCCGCGCCGCCCCGCTCGGTGCCCTCCGGACCGAGTGCCCGTGGGTGGCTGCCCCAAGATGCGCGCGGCCGCCTCGCTCGCCGGGACCGAGCGGCGAGGCCAGGAACGCGAACGGTTGCAAACTCTCGGGGCGCAAACTTGGCGTTGGCGCTGCGGCCACGGGTGCCGTGGGAGGGCCGCGGCCCAGCGCGCTGCGCTTCCCGCTCCCCTCCTCTCGGCGCTCATTGGCCCAGCCGCCGGGGACGACGAGGGAGGGAGGGAGGGAGGAAAAGGGGCGACGCGGAGCCCGGCCCCCGAGCGCCACCCGGCCCGCCCAGCCCGGACCTGGAGAGGGAAGGCAACGCCAGCGGGCGCGGCCGCCTCGCCCTGCGGATGGTGGCGCGCAGCCCCGGGCGGAGGGAGGCGCCTCTCTTCTCCTTCTCCCGAGCTTGCCGTCCTGTGTCCCCGCCGCACGAAACGACCGCCACCCGTGTCACCCAGGCGGGCGCTTTTCACTAAAGAGCACCCCGCCCCACCCTGTTTTGGTTCCCCGCAATCGCGGCACCCCCCTCCCTGTCCCCGTGCTGGCTAAAATTTCCTGCGCTTTCCTTTCACGCTTTTTCCTTCGGAGTCCTTGCCGCAAAGGGTTAATCTACCAGCCGCTGGAAGCCCGAGGAGCCCCCGGTGCTGCTAGCCAGCGCCCCAGACTCCCTCTCTCTCTTTACGTTCCTCTAGGCAAGACACGGTTTCCTACACCCTGATCTGACACGCTCTGTGTCATACAAGCAGATACGGAGGACTTCTAGCTTCGATCATTTCCTTCCGTCCCTTTGGATCGAGAATTATTTTACCCCGCTCCCCCCCCAGAACGGGTGTTACTGTTACATTATGTGCTTTCGGGTAAGTGTTTTGCATTCCCGGGTTCTAAAAATGGGTACCTGGCCGCTTCTCTTCTCTGCCCTCAGACACCTGAGCATATCACTGGCACGTGGAAAACTTTTTCAGTAGATATATACGTTTTGAGAATCTTGGAAGTCTTGAAGATCCTTTCCAGAAAGTGCTGTAGGCAAGCTGATGAAGAATGCTTTCAGGAAAGCCACGCTCTGAACTCATAGTAAAAAACTAAAGAAAAGTGAGCTTATGTGAGCCCCCAGGCTTCACCTCGAAACCAAGCCCAAAGCTTTTGCATCAGCAGTTTGTCTGGGAGCTGTTACTCAGCCAAGGACTACTTGGTGGAGAATCCACCTAAGCAGGTGGGCAGTGACTTTTGAAGCTGGAGGCCACCTTCAAACCCAGCTGAAGGCCTTGCAGACACTGACAATTTGCCCTCCACGGCTTCGGCCGCACCCCGGCCTTCTTGAGGAGTTGCACCACCAACAAGCTGCGCTGAACTTTAAATTGCCAGGCCAGAGTTTCTTAACCCATGCCCCTTGTCGAGTGGCAAAAAAATGTCCCTACGGCCATTCTGTGTCCCCGTGGAGACTTTATAAGATGTCATCGCCATCAGATGACAATCTCTGCTTTACTCACACCACTCTTACACACTCACTCACACACAGGCATATGCTTGAGGATCAACAGGCTAGAAAGACTCATTAAATATCACACAGTTCTAGACAAACGGAAGCAATGTTCCTCTTATCTTGAGCAAGATGACAGCTTCAGTGGAAGTGTTTGAGGGCAGAAGGGGCTTGAAAGCTCTGTTAAAAAAAAAAAAAAAAATCAACACAGATGTGAACTGCCAGAAAAGAAAAATAGGCCAGTTTGGGTAGTATTTATGAAGCAAAGGCTCAGGCCACTCATAATTTTCCACAAACAAAGCTATGCTTTCAGATGTCAAAAAGTAGTTTTCACCCTGGCATAAATTTAAAAACAGAAGATTAGCCCTATACAGATTTTTTTCTGCTTGACAAAACACAGATTATAATCTAGTCTAAAATTTTCCTTTAAAATGCAGAACTGTGCTTAGATCTTGTAAAACAAAATGGCACAGAAGTTAAATCTTAATAATTCTTTTCTACTGATACTGTAGTACAATTAATGTTTAAAAAAAAACTTTTAGAGGACTCAGTATCAAGAGAATGGATTAGTTACACTGTAGACTAATTAAATAGGCTTCTGGAGGGTGGGATATGAGTCTAAGATATAAAAGAGCTGTACCATAGACTCATTGACCTCTTTTACTGCCCCTATATCTCTGTTTCCATCATCTATCAATCGTAGATTCATAATAATAATGATTAGGTATAACTTTACAATATATGCAATATATATAACAAAGTTGGACATAACTTTACAAAAGTTGTTTCATTTACCGGTGACAATAGCCGATATGGTAGTTGTTATAATCTCTGTTTTACAGATCAGAAAACTGGAGTTTAGAGAGTTTGAGTACCTTGGGTGTGTTTAGGGAGGTTAAGAAAAATATGTCTGTCTGATTCCAGAGCCTGGGCTCTCTGTCATTAGGCTGTGTTGCCTCCTCTAAAAAAGAGGCCCACCCCCACACCTGACACAGACCTGTCATTCCTGTGGGCAGGCATTACGTTGCTCAAAAATGAGGTGGCAGGGGTGACCCTTCAGGCACTCTGTCTCACCTGTTTTCCATCTGCAGTAGGATGAGGCTTGATTTCAGGATCAGTTTTTTCATCTCCTTTATGGAACCATGCTCAGAATGTGAAGTCATCCAGAAGATCCAGTGCTCATCCTGACGACTAGTCTCTAAAATTAAAGGCCAAACAAAAAGACCTGAAAGCGATGCTGACATGTTTCAGGAGGGTAAAACTGGTAAAAACTCAACACCAATCCCGTGCCAGTCCAGACCCAGCCAAAGATACTCATCAAAACTCAAAACTGTCCTCAAAGTTTACAAAGGCATAACCCCTCAAGAAGATAAAATTATAATGACACATTCAGTCTAGATTCAACTAAAGATGATCACCAACAAAACCACATTAAAACCATCTACAATGATCTAACCCATGTAAGACGTAAAATTACTATTTTAATAATAATACATATTTATATAATGATACTGTATACTCACAGAGCATATTCGTTTACATCATCCCCTTTAATTCTCTCCAACTCTATGAGGTTGGAAGCGTAGGTATTATTTTCATTTTTATTATTATGTATCTCCATTTTTATTCACAAGAATATTAATTTCTGGTCATTTGAAGCTAGGTTATACAGCTAGTAAACAGCAAAAGTAGGATTCCGATTTGGCTATTCCATTGTTCTTTTTATTATACTAGGAGTCCACCTTCAGGAAAACAGCAGAAATTGTTGCCTGCATAGGACATTAAACTTTATGCTTAACATTTGAGAGCTGATCTGGAGAATGGCCTAAAAACATCCACGATGGGTATCACTCTGCCTTTTTAAGCAGTTTCTTTAGGAATTTTCCACAACACCGCAGGCAATTTAGATTTTGCAATCAGTGCTTCATTTCTTCACGTTTTAGCTCAACGAGTTTGCATTTGCTTGGAACATAAATTGCCACCTACCTGCCTGACGTAGTTTCCAAGCTTGAGGTCACAGTTAAACATTGTTATAATATATGCGCATGTTCAGAAAATGAAGAAATTAGTATAACTGAACACCTATCAGATTTAGCTATTAATGTTAAGTAATAGCATTTTTCCCTAAGAATACTGTATCATTTAGTCATTCAAGATAAATCAAAATAAATCACCGCAGCATGCTAACCTATGTACATACATCAAGGAGATGTTGATATGTCTAAAGACAAAAGAATCCAAATAATATACCAACCTCGGAAAGAAACCAGTTGTGAGAAATACAAAGTAGAAGTTAGTCACTGATAACTGAATGCAGAAATAAAGCCCGCTAACAAAACTCTATTAACTAAAATTACTCACAACAATATTTATAAATACGATTTCATACAACTTCTGAGTGCTCAGGACCAGAGCCTAAAACCAAGAAGAGGAATAGATCATGAAAATCTAAAGAACCCAGTCTTTAGAGCAAAACAAAACCGGATCTGAAAACCAGTACTGCCTTTTATTGATTTTGTGACTTTGAGCAAATCAATTAACTTCATCAAGCTTCAACTTCCTCCTCTATAAAGTGGGAATAAGGATCTCGATCTCTTGTGGCTGGTATAAGGACTGAAGGAAAGATTATGTGTGAAATAACTTCTCACAAAGTAATTGTTCAAAAAATATTAGCTAACTCTGCTTAGCTGAAGCTTACCCTTTAGGACCCAACAGTTTATTTTTAACTTTAGTCTTTTGGGAAGGAGAGCCTCCTAAAATGCATCCAGGCATACTTAAATGGAGTTAGTGATCATAACTGAATTTTTGTTGATGAGTCAGGCATTATTGTGAGCAAAACCCATACTGCAATACAGTGATATCTTGGAGTCCGTTGACATGTCAGGAGTTTGTCTTTGCACCCAAAGAGAGAAGCTTTCTCAATTACTGTGTCCACTCTCTGGTTTTTCAGTCTCCTCTTCTGCTCTCATATTTCAGTTGTTGCTGCCTTGCTTGCTATTTCGGTTCTCCTATGATCTGGGAGCTCTATAGATTGCCTTAGAATCGCTAGGCTTTGGCTGAGTGCCTAAGGAGTTCTTAAAGAAGTGAAGTACTTCAATTTTAAGTAAACTCCATGCTTTCTATCTTGGATATTCAGAGTCTTTTTTTTCCGTTACTTCCTGCTTCTTTGGTTGTGTTCCAAATAGTTGTTCTTGCCAAAGACGTGTCCTTTGAATAATAAAGTGTGATTGAAGATAATATTTGAGAATATAGAGATAGGCAAAAATGTATCTGCTTATGCTGCCAGGATTCTCTAGTTGGCTGCAGTTAAAAAAGAGCAAGGTAGGGCCTAGCAAGGTAGGATGCCCCTGGACCCTTTAGGTGTCCTGAGATGCTTGGCCCCCACCCTCTCCATCCCCCACCCCAACCCCACCATGAGTGTTGTTGCTGAGGCCACTGTCATCTTAGACTTTAGGGAGCTCCAGAGAATTAACCCTGTAACCCCAGATCTTGTATTCATCTTGGAGACTGCTTGGAATCTCCCAACTCTTGTATTTTTGCCTTACTCCTCACTCTGTGTTCCGCAGCCTGGCCCAGTGATAGTGCCAAGAACAACAATGTTTTGGAATGAATGGATGGATGGTTCCCTGGCAATCAGTGCAACCAATGGGACTCATGACTGTCTCTTCTTCTCTCATTTAAGTCCTCATGACCCAGCTTGTTGTTCAGAGCCTGCGTGGCCTTTGGTCAGCACATTAGGCTGGCTAGCCCTAAATGCTGAGTGTACAATAAAGTCTGTTATTTATAGGGCTGAAGTAGGTATTTGCCTCTATTCCCTTGACTCTTTTCCTATACTCCTAATGTGCCATTTGTGCAAATTTCATTCATTTCTAAACATTTTTGTGTCATTATTCATCAATTCTCTCAAAATATTTTATAAAACAAGCTTAGATTTTCACAAAAATATGCTAGCAGGTACTTGTGATGATTTTCAATCTCCAAGAATGGGACATCAAGCTTAGTTGACCACAGGACACTTTTTGTGTATGTGGTGCATCCTTCAGAATTAGCATTCCCCAGATTCACTTGGGGAAACAGTGCTTTCCCTTGTGAAAACTGAGTCAACATTCAGCAAGTATTTATTGAGGAGCCATGATTTATAAAGTACCATTCTGGGATACACATTAACTAACAAACAGACAAAATCCCTCCCTGGGAGAGCTTACACTCTAGGAGGGGAAGACATAAACAAAAAACATAAAAAAAAGATTAATATGTCAGAAGATGGTAAGTGCATAGAAGAAAAGAAAATACAGCAAGGGGAAGGGGTGAATGGAGCAGGGTCCGTATGTTGCAGGGTCTAATAGGGTAGTCAGGGTAGGCCTCATTGAGAAAGTCACATTTGAACAAAGATTTGAAGGAAGCCAAGAAGTTAACCGAACAAATTTCTGGGCAGAGAATGTTCCAGAAACAGGAACTGTCTAGAGCAAAGGCCCTAAGACAGGAGCAGGCCTGGCAGGGTGGAGAAACTTCAGGCTGGCCAGGAAGGCTGGAGCAGAGTGAGTGAGGGGAGAGAGAAAGAAGATGAACCAGCAAAGTATGGCGAGCCTGCCTTTGGAGGCCATTAGAACAACTTTGGCCGTTAGAACAACTTTCTTCTAGTTGCAATGGGGAGTCATTGCAGGGATTTGAGCAGAAGAGTGTCTTCCTCTTTAAACAACAACTCCCCTTTTCTCCTCCTCCGAGCCCCTGATAACCACTCTTCTACTTTCTGTTTCTATGAATTTGACCACTTTAGAATATCTCATGTAAGTGGAATCATAGTGTTTGTCTTTTGGTTACTGGCTTATGTCATGTGGCTTGATGTCCTCAAGCTTTATCCATAGTAGAGCATGTGACGGTATTTCCTTCCTCTTTAAGGCTGAACAGTATTCCATTATATGTATATACCACATTTATCCATTCCACTACATGTATATACCACATTTTATATGATATATACATTTATCCATTCATATGTCAATGGACACTTGGGTTGCTTCCACCTCTTTGTTATTGTGAATAGTGTTGCTATGAAAATGGGTGTGAAAATATCTCTTTGAGATCCTGCTTTCAATTCTTTTGGGTGTACACCCAGATGTGGGCTTGCTGGATCGTATGGTAGTTCTACTTTTAATTTTTTGAGGAACCATCACACTGTTTTCCATAGCAGTTGTGCCATTTTACAGTCCCACCAATAGTGCACAAGGCTTCCAATTTCTCCACATCCTCACAAATAAAACAGATACTCCTGTTCCCCACTACCCATTTTAAGGACTAGAACATCAAGAATACCATCAACAATGTTCTTCAAACCGAGGCTTGTGTGCCGCCACCCCCCACCCCCACTCTGGTACATAAGGACTTTCTGGGGGTGCATAGTATCTACCAGTTTAAGGAAATCTATTTCTAGAGACCCAGATTTCATATATACTGTTCCTAAATCCAATTTGAGAACTGCTGAGTTCCTCCTGAGTCCTCCAAACCACCCACTGCAAATCTCACAGTGGACCAGGGTCCTGGAGCATGAACCCTCTCATCTCCAGATGCACCAGGTCTCCTGAGGGATTAAGCAAGCCGCCGTAAAACCCACGGGGCTTTCTGTTTCCCGTTTTATACATATTTCTGTTAAGAGCAAAGAATGAATTTTAGAATCAAGTATTTTGGCTCCTGTTAAAATGTTCCGAAATTAAATCTATGGTGATGATAAAGATGAGGGTGACAATGATAATTTCCACCTTTCTCCCCCAGCCCATTTTCAAAGAATGAGGAAGAGCCCTGGGAGAGCAGAACAAAGAGAACATGGGCAGGAAATAGTCAACACTAAAAACTTTTTTTCATATGGTATTTAAAAACAAGCATTTCTTTTCAGCTGTTCTCAATGCTCTTTCCTAGGGCGTGTCATTTGCTGGAAATAAAAACATCTTGATCAGCTGAAGAAGCAGAATAATTCTGACTCTTTTCAATGTGACTGGAATGTTTTCTGGGACTGCCAAAATTTTCAGGATGACTTTGAGTAAAACCCAAAAATAAATCTTTTGTGTAACTTCTTTCCATTTTGGTGTGTAGTACTCAGTGTAGTAATTAAAACCTATTTTAACAATTATATTATGAATCTTTTTGTAATAACAGTGATTCTTCACCGTATTTCATCCAATAAAATGCTCACTATTTTCTATCTCCTATTAATAAAAAATCTTTAATGAACTAAATGGTAGACCCACCAGTGCTTACCAGTGTAAAACCTTTCTCTTCATTAAAAGCATAGAAGAAATAAGATCATGATTCTTCTTGTAAAGAGATGTATTTCCAATAAATTTTACTTATTGTTTTATGATTATCAACATTTGTAATATATTTAAGGAGTTTTGATCAAGTATGTACTAATAATAATTATAAAGGTAAATCAATCTGAAGAATTTTTTTTTAATTTTAGAGCCTTATGACGTCAGGAAATGAGACAAATGTTAAGAATTACATTTATATGCATACTTTGTTTTGGATAAGCATGATAGGGAAATCAATAGAAGACTTTCAAGCATAAAAATGTATTAGGACAAAAGTTTGTGGAGGAAGTAGAATAGAAATATGATTCAAAGAGAAAAAGGGAAGATTTACATATTTTTTAATGCTAAAGAGCTTGTTCACTTATGTTTTAAATGGTTGGTTGGTAGTAGTATCAAATTATTATGGTTTTATATTCTATTGAGTACTTTTAAAAGCGAGATATGACAGTTTTGTATTTAAATGCCAATATTTACAATATACTAGAAATTACCTTCTTTGCAAAGTATTTCAACCTATAACAAAAAAATTTTAGGTGTTCACTTCGACATGTAGGAGCATACATGGTTTTTCAAAATTCTTTAATGGAATAAATTAACAAAATATTTGAAAGCTAATGCCTTAAATAGCCTTATGCCTTAAAAAGACTTAGGAGTGAATATTGCTGGGTCATAAGCTAAGTGCACATTCAGCATTACAAGATAAGGCCAAGTTGTTTTCCAAAGTGGTTGTACCAGTTTGCCCTCCCTCTAGCAGTGTATGAAATTCCCACTGCTCCACATCCTCACGAGCACTTGGTGTTGGCAGCCTTTTTAACTTTTGTCAAACTGGTAAGAGCGAGGTACTTTTATTATTTTTTCTTATTAGTAATGAAGTTAAGCATCTTTTCATTTGTCTAGAGACCATTCATGTGTCCTCTTCTCTGAAATAAGTGTTTGTGCCTTTTTCCTCTCTTTCTATCATTTGTTTTGTGTTTTATCTATTTTTTATTTTTAGGAGTATTTTACATGTTCTAGATATTTTTTATTTTTAGGAGTATTTTACACGTTCTAGATACTAGTACTGAACATTTATCAGTCATAATTGTTACAAATATCTTCTCCCAGCCTGTAGGTTATGTTCCACTCTCTTTATGGTGTTTTAAAATAATCAGTTTAAATTTAGTCATACTTATCTACCTTTTTATTTATTGTTGCAACCTATTTAAGAAATCCATCTTACCCAAAATTCACGGATAAGCTTATTCTCTGTCTTCTAATTTTTTTTAATTAATAGATTTATTTTTTTAGAGCAGTTTTAGGTTTACAGAAAAAAGTACAGAGTTACCACATACCTTCTCTCAACCCCCCAGCCCCACAGTTTCCTCTATTATTTATATCTTGTGTTAATGTAGTACATTTGTTACAACTGATGGGCCAATACTGATACATCATTATTAAGTAAAGTCCATAGTTTACATTAGATTTCACTCTTCATGTTGTACATGCTATGGGTTTTGACAAATTTTAATGATATGTATCCATCATTACTGTATCAGATGGTATAGTTTCCCTGCTGTAAATAGATTCCATGCTCTATTTTTTCATCTCTCCCGTCTTCTCCCTACCCCACATCCCCCGCCTCTGTAGTTTTGACTTCTCCAGAATGTCATATAGTAGAAATCATACAGTATGCAGTCTTTTCAGATTGGCTCTTTTCACTTAGCAAGATGCTTTTAAGCTTCCTCTATGTTTTTTCATGTCTTGACAACTCATTTCTTTTAATCCCACTGAATAATATTCCATTGTACAGATGTACTACAGTTATTTATCCACTCACCTGCTGAAGGACATCTTAGTTGCCTGAAATTTTTTAAAGTTTAGTTTTATACTTAAGTCCTTTTCTCAAGTGTAATTAATTCTTGGGTATGATGTGAAATAAATTCAGGTTTCCTTTATTTTTTCCACATGAGTTATCAGATGTTCCAGAATCTTTTATTAACCTGTCCCTCTTTTTTCTCACTGATCCAGCTCTGTCACATATCAAGTTTTCGTTTTTGCATTGATCTGTTTCTAAGCTCGCTATTTTATTCCAGTGGTCCATCTGTCTACCCTGGGCCAACACCACAATGCCATTGTGTTAGATATGTTGTAAGTTTTGGTACATGGTAGAATGTGTTCTTCAGGAGCATCTTGACTAACCTGGGACCTTCTTTTTCCATATAAATTTTTAGAATCAGTTTCTTGGTTCCGTGAAAAACTCCGTTGGGATTTGGTTGGAATTGTATTGAATCTATTTCTCAATTTGTGGAGAAATTCTCAATTTGTAGAGAACTGAAATCTTTATAATATAGTCTTTTGCTCCATGAGTATAGTATTTCCCTCTACTTATTCAGGTCTTCTTAAGATTTTGAACAAAGTTTTATTATTTTCTATGTAAATGCATTGATCATTTTTATTAGATTTATTCCAGGTACTTTATATTTTCTATTGCACTTGTACATTTTTTTACATGTTCTATTTGTTGCAATTTACTTTTTAAATTCATCTATCATCTTATGGGTGGCAACCTTTTAAATTTTTATTATTAATTTTATTTCTTTGTATATACAGTATTTCTTATCCATGGTTTTGCTTTCCATGGTTTCAGTTACGTGCCAAGAACTGTGGTGCAAAAATAATGCTCTGTCACAATGCCTACATCATTCACCTCACTTCATCTCATCACACAGGCGTTGTATCATCTCACATCATCACAAAAAGAAGAGTGAGTACAGTACAATAAGATATTTTGACAGAGATCACTTTTACATAACTTTTATTACAGTATATTGTTATAATTGTTCTATTTTATTATTAATTATTGTTTTGAATCTCTTACTGTGCCTAATTTATAAATTAAACTTTATTATAGGTATGTAAATATAGGGAAAAACATAGTACATATAAGGTTTGGTACTATCTGTGGTTTCAGGCATCCACTGGGGTTCTTGGAACATATACCCTGTGTATAAAGGACTACTGTAGATTCTTTTGAGTTTTCTAAGTAGAAAATCATGTCATCTTCTTAAAAATCTTCCTTTCTAATCCTTATGTTTCTATTTCTTTTTCGTATCCTGTTGAGCTGGCTAAGACCTCTAGTACTTTCATATAGAGTTGGATAAGACCTAGTCGTTCTCCTTGAAGTGATTTATTGGGGGAAGAAAATATGTCAGCAATGTGACAGGGCATAGGAATAATTTGTGTGAAATGTATGGAAACTAAATAAGGCCACATTTAGTTCCTCCTTTGAAGATAGAGATCAAGTCCTACTATGTACTTACGTTTGTAGCTTAAAAGTACAAATTAATATTATGCTAACTGAAGTCGATTATATAAACATTCACAAAGTCTTAACACGGGTATAACACTATTTTTGAATCAAAAAGATAGATTTAAAAGACCAACCATCATTTTATTCGTACGCTTACTGAACGTATATTTATAACACCCTTACCCAATATTGTCCCAGACCTTATAGACGTAATGATGTACAGACAAACACAGTCTGTTCTCAGTTATTAGCTGAGGGAAGGGGAGGGACTCTGTTTAAACAGTGCAAAATTTTTGTGTCAACTGGTTCTTCCAAGAAAATAACCAACATATGGGGTTCATATGTAACCCAAGACAGATACTGTGGAAAGAGCATATTGGTTAAAAATTTTGCTCATATTGAGTTAAAATCTGCCTTCCTGAAACTCTTAACCATTATTCCTAGTTCTGCCAAAGGAAATAAAATAAAATGGTAAAATAAAATATATTTTCTACCAATTGACAGCAGTTAAAGTCTATGAAAAGATCCCTTTTTTTCTCTTCTAAGCCTTCACTTTCCTTGGCTAAACTTCTATTCCTTCAATAATGGTGTGATTTTAAGATCCCATATATCTGGCCACCCTCCCCCTGAGATGCCATTGTTTGTCCCTGTCTCTCTTGAAAACCATTACACAAAACTGAAAATAATCTTCCAAGTGAGAAATGACCAGTGCAGTGTAGATGGAAATTATCATCAGCTATTTCTAGAAGTTGAAAATATCCTTGCCGTATAGAAGCAAATTTACATTATTTCATTTGGTTTCTCAGTATAGAACTAAGACCTATTGTTATGTATTTCAGGAAATCAGATTTCAACTTAATATGCATAAGGATTTCTACTCAGAGCCTTTTCTACACAAATAGCTATTAGGCCCTATTTCCCCAAATCTGTACTTATCAATTAGCTTTTTGATCATGTTTTTATTGTTTTTGTTCTTTTTTTTCAGTTAAAAATTACATAAATTCCAGTTCAAGTGTTCTTAGGCAATAAATTTTTTTCAAAAAACAGGGCAGAGTTCTATTGGCTCAGTTAACTAATTAGTCAGATAACTGAAAATTCCAAGGGTATTTGCACTTCAGATACAACTGGATCCAGGGTCTCAATGTTTTCAGGATTGGTCTTTTGCCATCTCTAGGCTTTGTTTCCCTCTGCAGTAGCTCCACTCTCATTCAATGATCCCCTTAAGATGGAAAGATGGCTGCCTGCAGTTCCAGACTAATGTCCCATCCTCTCAGTAACCAGAGTGATTCCGTCCTCCCCACAGAAATCCCAGGATTGAGTCTCACTAGCTCTTGATGGGTCACGTGCCCATCTCTGAACCAAGCAAGGAATGCAGCACTCTGATTGGCTAGGCCTGTACCACATTCCCATCCATGGAGCTGGGAATCAAATTCACTCAACCCAATCCTCTCAGACTGAAAGTGGAGGAGGGGGA